GAACAAAAAAACCTTTTAAAGTTAGTTTGACATTATAAGCATTTAATTTAGTTGAGCTGTTGCAGAACCAGAAATGCTTGTCACTAGCAGTGATCATCAACTGCCTAGGATTTCATACATGAGAAACAGACTATACAAGTCTTAATTTGTTATATAAATACTACTAAAAAGGACTGGATCACTCAAATCATCTTTGCACAGCCCATGTGCAAGACATCACCAGAATCCAAGCATGCAAGACATTAATTAAATCTTCCTTCTCTCTGACCTACTTTTATAGAAGTGAAACTGATGACAGTCGCCCGCTTAAAAGCTCATATTAAGTCTAAAGCAGACCATAAAGCTGGACTCAAATTTGAAATCAAAACTTTACAAGTGGCTCTGTTCTTTACCCCTTGCTTTTCTGATTTCAAATTTGGCAAGATTGCCACTCCAAAATGAGTTAGCTCACAAGCTCATTGAATGAGGGTGTGCTTTGTTGAGTTTGGACACTGGCTGCCAAGGATAGCAACAGGAGATTGGGATTCAGGCCTGAGGCGGGACTAGATAAACACATGGAGAAGGTGAAGCAGAAGAACTGCAGTGGCCTATTTAATGTTCAGGGGCTGGGAAATTTAATGTGCCAGGCTGGGCAAGCTTGTCACCAAGAGGCATTTTATTTCAACATGAGACAAGCCTTGCAGAGACTCTCTTTTTGCACAGTATTGACCAGTTTTAGAGCCTGAAGGAGCAGCTCCTGTTTCAGACACAGTACTTGAGCCAAGACAGCAGCAGTACAGAGCAGCATCTGAGCTGGCTTCACACACAGCCAGCTCTAATTCACAAAGCTTTAGCTCAGGCTTTGATTTAAGCAAAAGCAATGGAAGTATTTATGGATTCAGACTGCTGTGGATGTGCATGGTTTGTGGAGACAAGCCAAAGGTTGACCTCTCCCTGCTGGGACGTGAATCCATCGCTCTGAGCTGTCAGCTAAAAACCCACGTTCCTGTACAAAATCAGCTTTGCTACCATGTCAAGGCAGTGGCTGCTAACAAGTTTTCTTTCTGACTTGGAGGTTTTAACTGAGGATACAGTATGGACACCTCAGAACTAGAATAAAATGCAACTCTAAACAAGCAAACCCCACTAAATACAAGCAGTTGCAGTAGTTACAAAGGAGACTACACTGAGTTTGTTCTTAGAAACAAAAATTTTACTGTAGAGACTATGAAAAAAACCTTGTCTTTTAGAAGTTGAACGCATGATAACAAGTTTATTCTGAAAGTGCTTATCCTCATAACGTACACGAAAGTAAATGTGTTGTAGTAAGTCAACTGCTTTCTGTAGAAAAACAAAATCAAAACTCTAGTAAGAGACCTCCTTCTGGGCAGCACCTAACTTGTGCAACAACTGAAAATAAAAGCATTTTCAGAGACAGATATTAACTATTTCTGATACTCCTGACAGTATCAGAATATCCCTTATCTGTCAACTCAAAACTTTCTCTGCCTTACCAGGCCATTGGAGCTGCTGTTCATGGGAACAGGATAGAGTAGAAAACCTAAGTCAAACAGCAGCATGAATTCAGAATTTTATGACTTGCTTTCAAAGGCTGGGCTTCAATTTTGGTGGTTGTTTTCCCCCTTTTCCCCAATGATGGTAGCTTCATAAATCAGTCTAACCAATCTACATTGCTGAACATGCCTGCAGAAGTACTTTACTGCCTGGCCACAGGTCCAGGCTGTCTTAATACTTCACAGAACTGTATCTGCCTGAGGACTGCCATGAAATATTTAAACTGAATGGCTCAAGACTATAAAGCAGAGGAATCTATCAGACTTTTAACATCAGATAAAGATTCTGTATCCTGTCTCCATGAAGTTCACACATTTTGCTAGTAAACAGGAAACACAGATGTAGGAAAAATCATATGCCACAGGATTCATTTGTCCTCTGAAGTTATCCTCCCTGACTTTCTTTATAAACATTACCCTTCCAAAAAATAAGTAAATTGATTCCTACAACATGAGATTGACACAGAAATATGATTAATGACTAGGATGAATGACTAAAGTCCCGAACTTTCTTGAAATTTCTGTCAGAGGCAATACCCTTTTTTTTTCAGTTGTTAAGATTTCAGCTGCCTCTGAAAAGCAACCCTTACAGCCCAAATATCTAAGGAAATCTGAAACAAGATCCAAGATTCCGTCTTCTCATATTCCTAGCCAGTTTCTAGACTGTGTTAGACTGTGTTTAGAAGAACAGAATTCTATTTAATGGACAAGAAACTTACAGGAATTGAGACTAGCTTTTGCAACAAATTACTCAAATTGAAGGTGGCTGGCAGACTTGCATTTCTGAACAGAGCAAGTACAAACCTGAAAGTCTGCACTGGCAATATTTATTTGATTTTTTCTTCTTGCTAATTATGCTTTCAGTTTAGGTGAAAAATTTCTAGGGGAAAAGAGAAAGACGTTATACTGCCAAGAGGAGCGCTTACAGCTAATGATTTTGAAAACTACAGACATCAGTAAATGGATTAACTTTGCTTTTAATTACAAACACCAGTAGCTGTAATACCTATATGCTTTTTTTAATAGCTACCTCTTTTTCTCTGCCCCATCTTCTTTTCCTCTCCCACTTTTCATGTACCCTTAGCAGAAATGCACAGGCACAACTAATGTTTGAGGACAAGCCACAGCTATTCACACTTCTGATTATGGTTAAACAAATGCACAACATTTGAAAAATCCTCACTAAGCACACAGTGATCCAATACAACAATTACCTGATTTACACTATTCAGTCATAGATAATTTCTTAAACAAGGTGTATTAATGTAGCAAACCAATCCCTGTATTTCAGGGGATAGGTTTTTATGAGTGCTCGTGAAAGAAAAGAAAAAAGTGTATTTTTAGAGAAGGTCCTTAAGACAAAATTTATGAAACTCAATTCTTGTTTCAATCAATGTTGGAAATCATGACAAAGCAAAAAAAAAAACAAACTAACATCTTAGAATTATGGGGGTTTTTTTGACATTCAGTGAAACTTTGCTTCTTTTTCATGTAACACTAGGGGAAAAAACCCAGTCAACTATAAGTGAAGTACATTTCAGTGAAAATAATCTACTTTGTACTTTCATATAGCTTTCTAGTTTATTTATCCACAAAAGGAAAATTCAAACCGAAAAAAAAACCCTGTTCTCCTATCATAAAGTACCGATAAACATTACAGCTACCCAAAAACATGCTGCAGTCTAAAATAATATTGCACCAGGGTAACAAATGTAAAACACGGCCACATTGCCTTCAAACGTAGCCTGCAATTATAGCACATTAACGTTCTGTATTATTGTCTAGAATAAACACCTGGACAATTGGAACTTTTACTCACTCTTTAAAACAGCAGAGATCCAAACATGGCTTGTAAACAAGAGGATGAGGTAGGATCTCCCCCTTTAATTTGCCATTTCTGCAGAGGGAGATTTTTAAATAAGAAGTTACTTTGTTCTTTCTTCCCCCAGTCACCCCTAGCTGCGGGCAGGTCTGCCAAATCGCCAAGCATCCTGCCACAAGTCCGCACTAACAGTATCTGAGCATAACACTCCCACCAGGCTGAGCACAAAACAACTGAATTAAAACATGTCACAACTCTTTACTGCATTCTAATACATCTTAACCCCTGGCTGCAGGTACAGATATTTAATCACAGGGATTTTCAAGACACAAGTTATTTTAAAAAAACTTCAGAAAACAAAGTAAACCACAAAAACAACTCTATGTCAAACTATGCAGCATGCACAGAATTTTGTATGAAGGCAGTGAAGCTGTGGATGCCCCATTCCTGGCAGTGTTCAAGGCCAGGTTGGATGGGGCCCTGAGTAACCTGGTCTAGTGTAAGACACAGCACGAGAGTTGGAATGAGGTGACCTTTAAGGTCCCCTCCAACCCAAGCCATTCTATGATTTCTGTGATACTTGGCACTTTTTCCTACCCAAGTTATCATTTCTGATTCAGAGTTTTTTGCTTTTTTCTTCATGTGGTTCCGATAAAGAGCTGTCAATATTCTACATCTATCGCTTCGCAAAACCTTTAGCAAATATGTGAAAAGGTAAATTATAGCTGATTGTGTAATCTAACAGTCTAATTTTTCCTATCTATGCATCTTTCTTAAGCAAGTGACCAGCTGTTGGTAATCATTCAGTTTCCATCTGAAAACAGCTGCGGAGTTTGGCTCTTAAAATTTAATTCAGTCCATGCAACTCAGTGGAATGCAATTGGTCTCCGCACATTAATGACAGATTAATATCGCTAATAAATTAACCAGGATTACATAAATAACAGATTAATCAACACCATCCCGCACATGTTTCGCACCTCACCATTTTTAAGAGCCGAAACGAAGGTAACTTTTCAAGTTATTCAGATGGAAACCTGAAGGTACCACACACTTCCATTGTAAAGTGAGAGTGCTGCGCTACCCGGAGCCGCAGCAGCCCCGCCACCGAGCATTGTTTCTGCCTGAATGCCGATGCTCACTCAGTGACGGGCTATTAACAGGCAGCAATCTCGATTTCCGAACATCTGCGATGCTCTTCTCAGCCGCCAGAATACTGCAAACATCAGGGCAGTCTTTAGGAGACACTCGTGAAAGTGAAACCACACAGCTTTCCCGAAAACCTCCTAAAGCTGGGATAGCTGTGCAGAACCCCAGTTATAAGCAGCCCCAGGCTGCAAGCAAGCCATGGGGAACACTGAGCTCAGAACGAGCAGAAAGCTCCCGTTTACCTTCTCGGCGATGCTGTACAGGACCTCATCCATCTTCATGCACGTGGGGTCCCAGTCGTGCCCGAAGCGGATGACCACGACCCGGTCCTCCTCCGACAGGATGGCCTGGTCCACCTGCCACCCATTGTGCAAGTGCGGCAGCATGTACGACATCCTGGCGGCCGGCTGGCGAGCCTGCGGGACGACAGGGATGCCGCTGGAGCTGACAGCCCACCCTACCTGCCCTCACCCCGCCCGCCCTCTCCCCGGGCACCGAGAGCCGCCGCGGCCCGCCCGTCCCGTCCCGTCCCCAGCGCACCCCGCGGGCGTCCTTCCCTCAGAGACACGGAGCGGCGGCAGCGCCGGCACGGGCGGGAAGCG